CTGGGTCTTGTATTTTTCTTCTGTAAAACGAAAATTTAAACTAGAGGATTAAGAAAAGTGTGTAAACCAAGGATTTGACACTTTATAATGTCCATTTTTTAAAATAATTAAAATAATTCCAAAGTTACAATGCTATGCAGTTATTAAGGACAAAGAAGAAAGGATAAATGTCATTTTAATTAAATCTGCAGATGGAAATATATGGGGAAGTTCTACTAGTAATTGTGTGACTGTGTCTTAACAGAGTCCAAAAGCGTTTCCTCTTTGGGAAGTGTGAGCTAATACACCCAGAGAGGAGTGATGAGGAACAGGGATATTTCTACTGGATGGGGATGCTGGGAAGCTGAGATTTTATATCAATACCCAGAGGCGATGTGGACAGCTGATGATGTGCAAAAGAACACACAGGTTTGAGATTAGCCCCTGTTAATGGTGATGATGGATTTGTCATATGTTAGAAGTCTAGGATAGCAGTCTATGAAATATATATATTTATTTTTGTACATATGTATATATATTTTATTTTAATTTTATATACATATAAAATCAGCCTGCTTGTTCACCACTTCAGTCGGGGAATGGCTGATTAGTCACGGTCTGTACAGTAGCCTAGTCGACATAAACACGGGTCACACAAGACCCACCGGAGGAGAGGCAAAATCCAATTGTGTGTCTAAGCTCAGGTTTTGAGTTCCCCTTCCCCTTGAGGCAGGAGATAGGTGGGCTCCAGGCTAGACATTTACAACTGGCCTCTTATTCACACTTCCTGGGGTGAGAAGAAGATGGGCTCCAGGCTGGATGTTCATTACCAGCCCCCTGTTTACATTTCCTGAAGCAAGAGACAAACGAGCTCCAGGACTACATATTTATGACTGGACTCCTGTCTACATTTCGAGATCTGCACCTCGATGTAGAAACCAGCAACAGAAATAGGGTAAATAACCGGACATTGGACATTTTTATGTCAGGGACAGAGTGGGACTAAACCCTGTTAAAAGATCAAGAGGTCATACATTTCCCATCCTTGGGGCGAGGGAAACATTGCACATATGCTGAAAGGCTCCTTGGGGGTCAAAAAGGACCCATAATATGTGATGCTAAGGCCGTCCCATAGGCCTCCGGGCTGTAATCCATCTTGGAAAAAAGTTGCTCACGCATGTTGGGGAGGGTCCTAGGGCTGGGCAGGTGTGGAAAAAGAAACCAGATAATTGGCCAAAGGTAAACAAAGACCTGGAAGAACTGCGGTATATAGATGACTTAACCACCTCTTTACTGCTCTCCTCCTCATTAGGGAGGATGCCCACCCCCTCCAGGTGTGCATCTCTGCCTTGCTTTTGTCTTAACTGTTTCTCTGTGTGCTCTCCCACTTGCTGTTGTGCTGTGTCTTTAATAATAAACTTTGTACCTGTTTTTTTTAACATCGTTATTGGAGTATAATTGCTTTACAATGGGGTGTTAGTTTCTGCTTTATAACAAAGTGAATCAGTTATACATACACACATATCCCCATATCTCTTCCCTCTTGTGTCTCCCTCCCTCCCACCCTCCCTATCCCACCCCTCTAGGTGGTCACAAAGCACCAAGATGATCTCCCTGTGCTATGCAGCTGCTTCCCACTAGCTATCGATTTTACATTTGGTAGTGTATATATGTCCATGCCACTCTCTCACTTTGTCCCAGCTTACCCTTTCCCCCTCCCCGTGTCCTCAAGGCCCTTCTCTAGTACTGGTCTAGTATTCCCGTCTTGCCCCTAGGTTCTTCATGACCTTTTTTTTTTTTTTAGATTCCATATATATATGTGTTAGCATACAGTATTTGTTTTTCTCTTTCTGACTTACTTCACTCTGTATGACAGACTCTAGGTCCATCCGCCTCACTACAAATAACAAAATTTCGTTTCTTTTTATGGCTGAGTAATATTCCATTGTATATATGTGCCACATCTTCTTTATCCATTCATCCGTTGATGGACACTTAGGTTGCTTCCATCTCCTGGCTATTGTAAATAGAGCTGCAATGAACATTTTGGTACATGACTCTTTTTGAATTATGGTTTTCTCAGGACATATGCCCAGTAGTGGGATTGCTGGGTTGTATGGTAGTTCTATTTGTAGTTTTTTAAGGAACCTCCATACTGTTCTCCATAGTGGCTGTATCAATTTACATTCCCACCGCCAGTGCAAGAGTGTTCCCTTTTCTCCACACCCTCTCCAGCATTTATTGTTTGTAGATTTTTTGATGATGGCCATTCTGACCGGTGTGAGATGATATACCTCATTGTAGTTTTGATTTGCATTTCTCTAATGATTAATGATGTTCAGCATTCTTTCATGTGTCTGTTGGCAGTCTGTATATCTTCTTTGGAGAAATGTCTATTTAGGTCTTCTGCCCATTTTTGGATTGGGTTGTTTGTTTTTTTGATATTGAGCTGCATGTACCTGTTTTTACAGTTTTTGCCTCTATGAGAAATGCATTTTTCACTGGGGTCAAGAGCCAGGGGTGGTGGTGGCTGGGATTCCTGGTTTTCATCCAGGCTACACAGGCTCAGTTCCTGGGCAGGGAATTAAGATCTCGCTTCACACCACCACTCACCGCTGCCTGTCCGAGATCACCCTTGTACACACCCGGTCAACTGCAGGAAGGGAGCTGTAACCTCAGCCACATCTCTGACTCCTGTCATGGCAGGCCAACCACAAAGATCCAGTCTGTGCCTGAGTCCCTTGTAATTTAACTAAAGACACCCCAACACATTTAGAAGGCAGTCTATCTGTAGGGAAATAAACTTGTACCACCAGCCGTGCTTCGGGTAGAAAGCAAGGCTAGACTAGTGTTATTGTACCGAGTCTCTTGATTTTGTGCGGAAAGAATCCTAGCAGAGCAAACTGCTCTTTACCTCGCATCAACCTTCTGTGTTTGTTCAGCCGCCTAAGCACTGCAGGAACGGGTGGAAATTGCAGAGGAGAGGGAGAAAAGGATCCTAAGATAAAGCCTGGATCCTGGCTGTGTATTTATGTGTCTCTCAGCTACAGGCAACGGCCTTTACACCGACCGCTCTGGAGAGGCAGTGATGGTAACCTGAGGCCAGTGATTGGTAATCTAGGGGTTTAGGCAAGACACCGCCCCCACCCCCCCCCCCCCCTCCTTGCCCAGGGTAGGAGCCAAGCAGGAGTTGTTTCCTCTGACCCCTGCCGGGGAGATTCCCAGATTCCCGCTGTCTCCGGGTAACCTAACCTTGACCGTTCCTAACAGGGGTTATCTAGCATATTCTTATCTAGCAAAAGGGGACGCCCCCATCCAACTCTCCTTTCGCCTGCCTACTTAACACTTTGCCTCGCCACCAACCTCTCACCTGGCCGCAGTGCACTTTCTGTCCTCACTCCTTGACCCTGTTTATGCAGTCGTCCTTTCTAGACAGGCCCTGGCGAAGCCTCTGGAGGGGAAGCCGTAGATCAGTTCCTCTCAAACTTGAGCGGGCATAATATTTATCTGGAGGGCTTGTTAAAACATTGTTGGCCCTCGCTCCTAGAGTTCCCGGTTTCCTAGCTCTTGGATAGAGCCTGATAATTTGCATTTTTAACAAGTTCTTAGGAGATGCCGCCAGTCCGGGACCACTTTGAGAACCACTGCCTTAGATAAAAGAAGGTGCTGGTGCCGCGGCGTGAGCTCCTCCATTTCTTTCCATCTCTTTCCCCGGTCCCTTCGCACTTACGCTATTTTTCCTTCTCCGTCATAGACTCTGGCTTTTGGACTCTGTTTCTAGCGGTTCCCCTCCTGTCGCCGGTTCCGAGCGCTGGTAGAGAAATTTCCTGCCCACACTCCCCAGTCCTGTGCAGCGTCGCCCGCACCCCCCGCCTTTACTGTTTTTCCACAGCAGACGCTGCCCGCTGCACTCTCCCTCTCTTGGGTGTGAATTATTCACTCTCTTTCCTTACTCCTTGCATTAAGTGCAACCTTTACCGCAACTTAGCAATGGCTGGGCTCGCTGCTCGCCTGTGCGCTCCGCAGCCCTGGGAAGCATCCCTGTACTGCCGCCACGCTCCTCCACGCGCCAGACCCAGCCTGGGGCGCCAGGGCCATTCCAGCTCCTGCTCTGCGCTCCGACCCTGTCTGGCTCGGGCTCCAAGGTGTGGGCCAGGGCGGGTGCTGAAATCTCCTCTGTTGAGCTTCGGGCGCCGAAGCCCAGAGGGGGGCGGTAGCAGCGTCAGGTGGCTGCTCTGCGTCCCCGCGCGTCGCTCAGTCAGTCCCTGCTGCGCGCTCAGCCCGGACTGGAGCGGGAGATGATCAACACCTCCGCCCCGGCAGCTGCGTCCCCGGGAGCAGCCGGGACTCGGGACCTTGGCAGGAGAAACTGAGATGTGACCCCTCCGACTGCCCATTGCCCTCTTTGGCATCCTGCTTGCTTCTCCCACTTCCTCTCCCACTCCACGGCTCAACTGGACAGCGAGCGTTTGCCTCGATCTCCGGGGAGAGAGGAGCGGCCACCAGGCGCACAGCCGGGCAGAAGTTGGGCTCAGCTGGGCAGCGCTGATCCAGCTGCGCCGGAGGGGTAGGCTAGGAAGTGGGAGAGGAAAGCGCAGTAGAGGGTCTGGGAGATAGGGCTTTGAGTGGGCTTTTCCTGCTCCCCCGGCCCCGGGGTCGGGGCAGGGGGAGAAATGCTGAGCCCGCGCCTAGGTGATCGCCGCCGCGACAGCAGCCTCAGCAACAGCTTCAGCATCAGCACCGGCGGGACAGCGACAGCGGGGGCGGCGCAGGCGCACTGTGCCCCGCGGAGCCTGCAGTTCCCGAGCCCCGTGTGCGGCACCGCCACAGTCTGGGCAGCGGCGGCCGGGGGAGCGCTACTACCATGAACTGCCTGGTCCTCCTCCCCAGAGCTGCTCATCCGGGTCGGGCTGGAGACTCAGTCAGGGGACCCCGTCGCCGCCGCCGCACCCCCTCTTCTTTGGGCTCGATCTTCTCTTCCACCTTTTCCTCTTCTTTCTCCACCTTCTCTTCCTGCATTGCCCCCTCCCCCGCCGCGGATCCTGGCCGCTGCTCTCCAGACCCAGGATGCCGGGGGGCAAGAGAGGGCTGGTGGCACCGCAGAACACATTTTTGGAGAACATCGTCAGGCGCTCCAGCGGTAAGAAGAGTTGCAGTCAGAACACCCCTCCACCTCCATCCTGCCCACCCACGCCCCCCATCCTCCCCGTCCCATCCCTCTCCCAGGGCGGGAGGGGGACGCAGACCGCCCTACCTGGCGGCTGCAGTTACAAGATGGACCTGATTTTAGGAGGGAGTGGGAATTAGGTGGCAGAGGAAAGTTAGTTGCATCCCCTCCTCAAGACGTACTCTCCCCCCTCCCACCTGTCCAGAGCCCAGAACCGCAGGAAGCCAAGGGGGAGCAGCGGCTAGGGTGTAGGTACATCTGGAGAACAGAGTTGAGTTTCGCTTTGTTGAGGGATATCTTTTTTGTTCATCGTTTCCCCACATTTTTAAACAAGTAGGCTGAAGAGACTGATCAAATTCTTAGAGTTAATCTCAGTGGAAGGGTTCCCTCAAGTTGGGAATGGCTGTGAAAGTGGCTACTTAAGATTTAGTCTCTGGAATGGCTTTCAGGCCCAATGGGAACCGTTGAAAGGAGCCTTGTGTATGAGAGGGTAGCTGGAGTTGAACCTAAGAAAGAGAGTCAGTTCTGGAAAAATGGGAAGGCAATTATTATGGTCAAATTTGTGTTTAAAGTTTATTTTTTTTTCTATTTTGCATTGGTCTGTATTGATCTATATGATATATTTGATTTGAGTTATACAGGAGAAACGTAGAAGGGAAGCAATAGCTACAGTGCTTTTAAAGTAACTGGAGAAAGAATTTTAAAAATGCCATTCTACCTTGCTACTGATGTTAGGGTTTTCTTGCCTTAAAGTGTCTTTGAATTGCCATCCATTTATGCATTCATTTCCTCTAAGATATCGGAATGGGGATGGTTATATATTTCACATTTTAGGACCTTATAAACTTTGCATTTTACTGAAATATACATTTTCTACTTGCTTTCAACTCTTTTATATAATTTTCAATTTTGTAAGATATGTAAAGATATCCTTTAAAGATATGTAAAATATCCTTTAAAGTTTTTTGTTTTTTTTCCTTCAGAGACCTGTTATTATATTTTGAGATCCTTTGCTTGGAGAATTATGAGAAAGACATTTCTGCATGTTGATTACAGTAGATTTTGGACCAAAGCAATGGAAATACTCTATGCAATTCCATAATCATTGTTCATTCATTCATTCATTCATTCAGTGAAACTATTTGGGTGCCTTATACAAGAGACACTCTGTGGGGTCCTTTGGATAAAAAAATGATTAAGACACTTCTGCTCTCAGAAAGCTCCCTCCTTAGTGGCAAGACAGAGGCACACTCAAATGATAATAAATAATTAAATACAATTATGCTCTTCCTGAATTGGTAGATTAGGTTATATTAATTCCTAGGATATGAGCTCTTCTAAAACTAGGCTTGCAAATATTTCCCCTGATTTGGGGACTATATGTAAGTGTCCCAAGGTATTTCTCATCAAGCTCTGACATGGTATTTGGTTTTCATTTGAGGCTTTTGACTTTATTTCTTCGCATTTGGTCAATGCCTGATACTATACAAGTCTTGAACAGACTTTTTTGGGTTCAAAAAAAAATAGCTAATAGGCCTGATTTAGTGTAAAAAAAAACTATAATACTTTTAGCCATTCCAGTGTGATTTCAAATGTGTTTGATTTTTTATGATAATATAAAATATTAAAAAATATATAATATAAATAAATGGTAGCCAATTTCTATGTTTATACATTACTTTCTTATATTAATATTGTACAGAAACCTAGAGTACAAGGAGATATTACTGTTAAAACAACCAGGTTGGGAAATTTAAATGTTATTGGAATTAGCTATTTAAGGTATATCAGTCTGTTTTTCAGCTTTCTCATCCTCTTGGGTTATTTCAACTCCATGCAATTTGGTCTGTGAGAGGACTTCTCAGAGAAGGCCTTAAAGAATAAAATTTGGAGGCTGTCTATTATTGCTCTGCGTGGTAACCAGAAAGTAGATGAGAATTCCTTGGCTGAAGTTCACTCACATAGCATCTTTGGTTGAAACTTCTCATACAGACTGGAACTATGAGCCAGTTTGTAGAATATCTTTTATTTCTGATATACCATGAAGTTAAGACTTACCTTATGTGGCTTAGAAAGAGCTGCTTCCGTTGCCTCCATTTTAAATCCACCATCGAAGTCAATGAAGGTTTTATCTGTTTTACACTTCATGTTATAATTGCTTCACTGGTTTAATGTTTCTTTCCATGGATAGCACCAAGTACAAATGAAAATTTATCTGTTTTTGCATTTTAAGTACCACCTCTAATTGCTTATGGCTAACTTTTTTTTTTTTTTTTTGCGGTACGTGGGCCTCTCACTGTTGTGGCCTCTCCCGTCGCGGAGCACAGGCTCCGGACTTGCAGGCTCAGCGGCCATGGCTCACGGGCCCAGCTGCTCCGCAGCATGTGGGATCTTCCTGGACCGGGGCACGAACCCGCGTCCCCTGCATCGGCAGGTGGACTCTCAACCACTGCGCCACCAGGGAAGCCCTGGCTAACTTTTAATACCACTACTCAAAACCTCTGAGCTTTGTTTGAAATGTGTTAGATATTTGAGGAAAGTGTATGAGCATGTGTATGTAATCAGTAACGGAAAGTCTCAGTGCCACTTGTACAGGAAGAACCTCAGAAATTGAGAATTACGGTACTAAATTTCTCTACACATTTATGTGCGAGTATCCCACACTTGTTGCCATTTCTATGTGATTTGGCAGAGAAATAGAAAAATTCATTCTGAGAAATTGAGATTAACAGAAAATTCCCTTCAGGGTTCTCACAGATGGATTGAGTTTGTCACCGTGAAGATTTCATTATTCACTAACTTAACAACATTGAAAGTGAAGTATTGGCAGAGCTTTAGTGGAAAATAAAAGAGGCAGCACTCCTAATACAGCTAAGACTTGAAGAAAGATGGGTTACTTTTACCCCATGAAGTGCTTCTCTTTCTGATACAACATCATTTTCTTCTTATGAAAATATCAGATCTTTTAGTGAGAGTCAGAGTAGAAGCATATCTAGAGATACACACAGATAAACATACAGACAGGTATCTACCCAGACACAAAGGTAGATGCAGAGGAAGTAGACTCTCTCTCTGTCTCATAGAAAGAGCAAAAGAGAGATGTAAAAAGTAGCAGAAATACAAGGAGAGAGGGAAGGAGAGAGAGGGAGGGAAGGAGTGTGGGAGGGAGAGGGAGGGGGAGAGATAGAGAGAGAAAGAGAGAGAGAGGGAGAAAAGGAGGGATACTAGATATGAAAGTGCAATGGACACCAAGAGAAAACATCAAGCTTTTATTTGTCCACGGTGATCACTAATGAGCTGAAATCTCAGCAAATTAGAAATCTATCAGAAAACTTCTTGATGCAGAAGAAAAGAGCAAGAAGTGTGGTATGTTTGGGTATAGCTTTTAAACATGAGGATATCCTAATAAAGTTGCAAACTCCTCAGTTGCAATTTCCCAGAATAACAGTGCTGTATTCTTTGCCTTAGAGTAGCACTGTAGCCTATTTGCCTTAGAGTAGCCTATTTGCCTTAGAGTAGCACTGTAGCCTATTTGCTGTTATTTTACACCTCTTGAGATTGGCTTTTTATTTTCCTTGTTTAGTTGACACAGTCTGTTATGGGAAAACATTTCAAATTGTCACTGGTGATTCAAAGTCTATAAAATAAAATAATGAAGGCCATTGAGTAGGATGGATACAAACATACTTTATAGCCAAATCCCAAAATAGTAGAAGTAGGGAATTCCTCTCTTCAGTTTTAAGATAAAAGATAAAGTCATTTTTAGACAAATAAAAGGAATTACAATCATTTTTAACATGTGATTCTAGTAGGTATAGAGTACACATTATTACTCCAAGAAATTGTAAAGGTCAAAAGCATAAATGCAATAGCAAGGTTTAGATAACGTTTTTGGCTAGTAGAATCAAAATATGTTGCTAGGAAGGGAAAGTTTGGGAACCATGTGGTGAGTGAGTTCATTAACTGCGTGCAGTGTCTCATAGGAGGCCCCCGTCCAAAATGCCTACTGACCGAATCTGTGTCTGGAACATTATCAGGCCATCTTCGCTTATTTAAACCTTGCATAGTATTTATGCAAGCTATTCACCAATATATTTTGGGCCATAGGGAGCAGTACACTTATGGGTAGAGGGTAGGTACCTGAAAGAAAGCAACAGTTTTTTAAGACTTTTAGGTAGAATTTTAGATTAAAACAAAACAAAACAAAACATTTCCAAGGCCTTCAATCTGATTATTGCTTTGGGCAGTACATTTTATATATATGTTGTCTTTGATTCCTTAACAAATAGGCAGAAACAATTAGTTTGGGTGACAGTAAACCTGGTTGCCATATCGAAAATTTTTAACTATAAAAATAATGTCTTTTAAATTAGAATTTACTGTTCTTTAATATTTTAAACATTATGAAAAACTAGAAATGTTTTTCTCTTTAAAGAAAAAAGGGGCCCAGGAAAGAAGAAAACAGAAAAGGCAGTATTTTATGAACCACTTAACCTTCAAGAGAAGAAGTTGAGTATACTCAGTTTTCCATTTTGTCTGAAATACCTGGTTGCACAAGCACTTTCTTTACTCAGTGCTCTTACCTATAGGAAAATCCAAAATCATTTTTGTGCTATAATTAATATTTGTAAAACCTAAGATCTTAAATGAGAACCTATAGGAGGGGCAATAAGGGAACTAGGAAACTAGGGGCAGTAAGGGAACTAGGAAAACAAAAAGGAAATATTAACTCATAATTCTCATCCAATTAAAAAAATTGTGGAAAACAAATGGATTATTGTGGGGGTTTTTTGGTATAGAGTACTTGATATTTTTTATTGAAAGATCTAAAATACTATTCAGGAAATGTTGATAAAACCACTTAGAGTTTTTGAAGTTTTGGTTTACCCAGGTCTTATAAAGTATCACTTTTACCTTTAAAATATCATAGAGATTGAAATTATACTGACCACTTCCTAAATTATATTTATAAG